CTAAAATGGCACACTACGATGCGTCAGTGGAAGAGTGCCTTCTTCCCTCTCAAATGTTTTGAAACTCTTCTAAACAAACAGTATTTTCTTAACATATTCAAGACCATGCCAGTACAGTAGGATCCACTTATGATGGTATTATATTTAACATCTGTTTTAAAGGATTTATTACATAATTAAAAGCCTATTTTATTGATAAAATGGATTCAATTTTACCCAAATTATTCTATTAATCACACATTCTTTTTCATAAAGATCATTTTTAAAAATAAATATTAAAATGCTACAATTAAAAATAGTCATGATTTCCTCTTTCTAAGTCTTCTGGAACCAGGGTGTGTGCACAAAACCTATTGGGCCCCAGTGATCAGGGGCTTCAGCAGCTCTGTGTCACTCTCCCTGAGGAGAGTCCCTAAAGATCAGGCTTCATTCAAACCAAGTTCACAGACCCTGCTCTACCTACACCAGTGAAGCTGAGAGATGTGACTGAACACTTTCTGCCATGAGGATAAGTTTCCAGGTTCGAAAATACATTAATTACTGAAATGAGGAAATGTATACCAACAGAAATGAACACATTCATGAAAAAATGTCCATGAGTATGGGGTGATTTTTGGTTAACTAGCTTACATAAATTTTTTTTATTTGATTCTTATTCATTCAGACATACTAAATATTGGTATAACAAATCACAGATTTGGCCAGGTGCGGTGGCTCATGCCTGTTATTGCAGCACCTTGGGAGGCCGAGGTGGGAAGATCATGAGGTCAAGAGATCGAGACCATCCTGGCCAATATGGTAAAACAACACCTCTGCTAAAAAAATAAAAAATAAATAAAAAAATTAGCTGGGCACGGTGCCACATGCCATTAGTCTCAGCTACTTGGAGGGTAAGGTAGGAGAATCACTTGAACCTGGGAGAGAGAGGTGGCTGTGAGCAGGCAGCACATCACTGCACCCGCAGTATGGTGACAGAGTGAGATTCCATCTCAAAAAAAAATAATAATAATCACAAACTTATATTAGTCATGCTAAATCTAACTTATTAGCTGTCAACATAAAGATTCTAGAAAGTAAAGAAGATACAAAGAAGTTGAAAGGCATCCCATATTCATGGATAGGAAGACTAAACATGACTAACCACAATACTACACAAATCATCTACAGACTAACAACTGCTATCAAACTTGTAACAGCCATCTGTGCAGAAATGGAAAAGATAATCCTAAGACTTTAATGAATTTTTATGTGCCTCATATAACCATGGTAACGTTGAAAAAGAATACTGTTAGAGGACACACATTCATGAGATTGAAATCTACAGAAAAGGAAAAAACAGAGAAATTCAGACAGCATGCTTCTAGCGTGGGGGCACCCATAAGTACCATAGATATAGAATCGAGAGCCCAGAATTAAATGCACACACACAGAGTCAGCTGATCTTCAACAGAGGTGCCAAGAATACACAATGGAGAAAGGAAAGCCTCTTCTACAAATGATGGTAAGAACCGCATATTCTTATTCAAATGAAGAAATGGAATGCTGACAGTGTGCTCAAGGTTATGCTTCTCCCTCCATTTCCAAGACACTGGAGCTTTTGCAGTGAGCCCAGAGTGATTTTCATTCTGTCCTCCCTGCCCAGGGAGATGTCTTGATACCAGAGGTAAACAGCAAGGACAGACAAATGAACGTGCTGCCATGAAACCTAACAGTTCATAAGGTGAGGATCCATTTCTCTTATGCATCTGGGCACACCGCAGAGGAATTGTCTCCAGGATTAAGTAACTGCCTGTGACAGAACTGCATCCCAAACCAAAGGTTCTGACATTTTGCAGTGGCAGAGGCAGAAAAGAGCAGGTGTTCTCAGGAAGATCATCTTTAAATAATAAAAAAGAGGTGACTGAAAACACAGGATACTCAAAAGCCCATCAACATAGTACTTCTCACCATGATGACATTAAACTCTGAAAATAACAAACTCAGCTTATATTTACTTTTTCTTTTTCTCTTTCTAAACCCTCCCTCAGCCTCTGAAGCAGCAGGTATAACCTGAAGGTTGTTGGAAATGCTGTTTTATTAGATCCCATCTGAAGTCTTGTTGCCTACGTGGAAAGGCATCCTCTTCCCTGCTGAGATTCTCCAGAATCCACTCTTTTTTGTTTGTTTTTTTTTAGATGGAGTCTCGCTCAGTCACCCAGGCTGGAGTGCAGTGGGTCGATCTCGCGCTCATTTAAACTCATGACCTCAGCGATCTGCTGCCTCAGCCTCCCCAAAGTGCTGGGATTACCAGGCATGAGCCACCACGCCCAGGCCATGGATTGGAGCATTTCTAAGACCTGATGTAGTCCTGTTATTAAATACAAGGCAATATCTTCCTGATCCTTCCCTGCTTTGACCAAGTGCTGAGGAATGAGCCCAGCACTGACAGATGTTGACCTGCACTGTTCTACATGATCCTTACACTTCTCAGAATCTGTGAGCTGATCAGAAGCCTGCGGGCTTTCTATGTTTGTTTTCACAGTAATGTCCATGCAAACGTCTGTTGTTCCGGTAGCCTTTTGCTACCCAGGGTTTTGTGACCACTGGGGCCCCATTTGATGATGGGCAAAGTTTGGCAGCTTATAGGCCACACAGTTCCAGGGGCACACATAGGTGCTGGAGCCCCTGGTGTGGGGTCCTGTCACCAAGCTGAGTGATGACACAGCTTGAGTAATACAGACCATCAACACTGGGACCCATTTTTCTGGGGTCACTTTTGCCTCCTCCATTCAGGAGGTCAGAATCTGGGTTCACTCCTTTCTGCACTGTCTCCATGCTAAGGAGTAGGGATATTGAACATACTTCAGGTACGGCTGTGGTGAGGGAGGAAAAGTGGTCATTTATGTAAAGTGTATGGTGGTGCTGAAGTTTTTCTTCCCTTTTATTAGCAAGACATGACTCGGGAGGCTGAGGAAAGGACGCACACCGACCAGGAATTACTACTGCCTAAAGAAGCTTCATGTAAAATTCTATTCTAACAGCAGTTATCTCAGACTTCCCATATAGAACGCATCAACTATTTAATTTTTTTCTTCTTTCCTATCACTGTCTAAAAGCACACTTAGACCAGTGGGTTGACTGTATCTAATTTTTAACCTATTAGATGGGCAATTTTTTTTTGAGATGGAGTCTTGCTCTGGGTGATTCTCTTTGATTGTCTCCTGGTTCTCATTCATGAGCAACACACATGCTTCTATGGAAGCATAATGCTTCAATTGCAGCCTATAACAAACCTGTCAGTAACTTTTCAACTCACCTGAACCAAGAGTTCTCCATCCGAGTTTTCAGCAAGAGCCAATTTCTTGAGCCATGGAGCAATGGGAAACGGCCAGCCTCACTAAGCTCACACACCCAGCGTGGAAGCACATTTCATTTTATGGTAAGTCACTTTGCCACTACAGGCGTGTAGCATGTTAGTTTCTAGATTAGCCTTTGGTGTTAAGATATCCCCGCTCTTGGGTGTGTTTCATGAGTAATTTACTTAACTGAGACTCACATTCCTCATCTGTATAAGAACTATAACAAAACGAATTTGTCTCAAGTGATTGTGAGCGCTCCAAGGAGGCAACATAGAGAAGTGGCCATATAGTTACTTGATACTTAATTTTATATCTGTTATTTTTTCATTCTATAACTTAAGCACTCATGCTGATTAACTAGCAGTCCATATGTGGCACGAATGACATTTTGTCAATGACAGACTACATGTTATGACAGTGCTCCCATAAAGATTATGAACAAAGCTGAAAATTTGCCCTTTGCCTAGTAAAGTCGTAGCTGTGGAATCGTCGGCGCAGTGCGTAGCATTATGTGTCAGTGTGAGGTGGTGTACAACAAACTACTGCACTGCATCATTAGTCAAACAAACATTTCTTTTTGGTAACAAGATTTAAGTAAATGTTATCACACAATTGAAAGACTACATCAAAGTGATGGTTTTTAAAAGAGATAAAAGCAGAGTCGAACCGAGGATTTGAGAATGGCTACTCAGATGCCATTAGAGGAGCATGAATTGGTGTCATCATTTTGGACAAAAGTTTCGCATTCATCGATGACAACTGAAAGATATGCCGCCCTTAAAAATAATAGTCTACTCCGCAGAGCGTGAGTGCTTGTGTTATTCCAAAATCCACAACACAAAATACTCAAAGGCACCGTTAACTTGAGACAGCCACAGTTATTAATT